GCTAGGCTAGAACTAAGTTCATTCGCTCTTTGGAATTCCAGGCTGGTCTAAAATTTTTGAAACAAAATTATAGCATTATGATCATGTCCTCGTACTTACTTAACACGGCCACAACACGGCCGGCCCCGAGGACGGGTAAAGAGGGTATAGGAAGCTTCTGGTCAATAACGGCCCCGAGCGAAGCCGGCAGAAGGACAGGGGAGCTTTGTGTCCGAAAACCCGGCTTCTTGTCAGCCGCGCTTTTCGGCCGGCGGTGTGACTTTTTCAGTGGAAAAAACCCTCAGGGTTTTATGCTTGAAAATGGCAGCGATTAAATTATTACGGATAATATTTTATTGGGGTTAACTTGCGGATTATAGGGTAGTATTGAAAGTTTTTGGAAAAGTTGGTACTTTTGGTACTGTTGGAGTTTGAATGGGTTAAGGAGGTGAAACATGGCTGTTAATGGTACTATATTGAGTATGATGGACCTATTTTAGTACCAGTAACTAGAGCGGCTTTGGCAGTATTATTTTTGTAAAAATTTGGCCAAATTATCATTTTTACTCTCTAAAAACACCTTTTTAGCCTACTATAACATACTATTTTTACACTCACAGCAGGTTACTGTGTTTTTCAAAATAATTTTAAAAAATTTTAAATCCTCAAATTTTCAAAACGTCATTTTAAAACTTGGCTACGCGGATTAAGACCAAGCTTTTTGGTGGAAAAAACGATTAAAATTGTTAGCATGGTGCCAAAACGGTCATTTCAGCACGTTCTTTTCTGACTTTTTGCTTCTCTTTCCTGAGGCGAAAAGAAGCCGGATTGGCTTATCTGGTCCCCCCGCTTCACCACTACCACATCCTGCTTCTTCTGCCCGCAGGCGCGTCTTGGGCTCTCCTTTTTTGCCGCATCTTGGGCACCAAAAACATTTCCATAACACGATATTAAGGTTGGGCACTGGAACGGCGGCTGGGGGTTAACTTGGTTATGAGTGGGGTGGAAGAGGGTAGGAAAGAGAGTATTGAGGGTGTTTCTAAGGGGTTGGTAGCAAAATTAATTTTTTTGAAAATTTTTTATTTTTTGGTTAAAAAATGGTTACCTTTTATTGATAAAGAATGCTCAGTAAGGAAATTAGCATTTCAAAATTAGATACCTAATAAAAAGTAAAAAAGGGCATGACAGCGCAAAATGAAATAGGCAACCTTGGAAAGGGCGGGGTGAAGGCAGAGCTAAGGCGAGGGTAAGGTTAATGCTGAGGTTAAAATTAAGATCAGGAGCTCGGGCTTGAGCTGGGGCTTGGGCTCTGGTTGAGGCTAGATATAGAGCTAAGGCTAGGGCACACTTAAACTTTAAAATGGTTTTTGTTGTAGATGTTTGAATTTGTATTTTCAAGCTTTGTAATGGCTTTTTGAATTTTATACTGAAAAACCTCTTCAAGTCTTCTCTTTTTGTCTTGTCATCTACAGCCGGTCTTGTTTGGTTTGTGGCTAGTCTGACACCTGCCAACCGAATGCTATCATCGTGCTGGTATGTACATACGTTGTGTTTGTTTAGTTGTAAATTATGCGCAATTCGATCCTCGGATTACGGGTGTTAAAAAAAGAATGGCACACGGAAATGTTGCGATTTTTGGGTTTGATATTTGAATTCGTTTGAATTCTTGAGCTTTCGGTGTTTTGTAGATGTAATGTAGACGTAGTGGGTTGTATTAATAGTATGGTCAAAAAGTGATGTTTGATTATTTAAATATTTAGATATTAACGTATGATGCTTAGGAGTAGTTTGGAAAATTTATGGTAATTTTAGAGTATGAACAAGAGGTTAAACTAAGGCTAAGAAAAAGATAAATTAGGACTGGAAAGTAAATAAAAGCTGACATTGCACTAGTATAGAGTTGTAAGAAGGTAAGACAAGGTAAAACAGGCTCGGAATAGGTAGGGGTTGAGTAGGACAAAGACAGAGTACAGTAGAGTACGGTATAATACAGCTAATTATTGTAGGGTAGGGTAGGGTGGGGTGGGGTAGGGTAGGGTAGGGTAGGGTAGGGTAGGGTAGGGTAGGGTAGGGTAGGGTAGGGTAGGGTAGGGTAGGGTATTGTAGGGTAGGGTAGGGTAGGGCTAAGTAGGGTAGGGTAGGGTAGGGTAGGGTAGGGTAGGGTAGGGTAGGGTAGGGTAGGGTAAGAAAAATCCTAGTTAAGTCAAAAGTATTTTTTTTTGAAAAGCATTTTTAGGGTTCTTTACTTATTTTTAGGTTGGTTCATTTACCTAGAAATCCTGCCAGTGCTCGTTAATTTTTGCTGCAGTTTTTTTTCCGAAAAATTGTTTAATTATCTTCTTTTTGGGTCCGAACATTTTTCCATGAATAGGACCAGAAATTAGTTGATTAGGGACCGGCGCGGCCCCGGTTCTTGGCCGTTTTGTTTTTTGTTTACATTGTATGAAAACTCATAACGGAAATTGTATTTTTATCTCTGTAATTATGCACTACTTTTGTTGTTGTGCCACGTTATTGTAATGTAATAGTAATGGAAATGGATTTGCTTATTAGTTTTTTTCTTTCCCTTCTTGTTGTTTGGGAACAGATTCGGGCATGGTAATTAAGTTATACTGTAATTGGGGAGATTGTTATAGACTGCGCGGCCGGGTCTTGTGACTTGTATAAGCTATGTTTGGGCATGGATTGTATAAGCTATGCTTGGGTTTGGGATGGGGCTAATAATTGAAAATAAGTAGGGTCTTTTTTATTTTTTTAATAATAAAGAAAAAAAAAGTAGGGGGGGGGGAGGAAAGGGAAGGGTAGTTTATGAAAAAGGAGGAGAAAGTAGTGTATAAGAAGAGGAGAGGGTTGAATGGTAAAGGGAGGGGGGCAGGAAGTACGGGTAAAAATATTTTTTTGAAAATTTATATTATGCTGTTCAAATAATTCTGCGCCTCTGTAATAGCAAATTTTTGGGGTTAAAGGCACAGAATTTTTTGAACAACCTAAATGAATGATTTAACTCAAAAAAATCTTAACTTTGGTTTAACCTACCTCTTCCTCTCCTTCCTCCTTACCCCTTCATACAGTTGGATAGGACTCTTTTCTTATGGGTAGGGCAAAGGTGAGTAGGGTTTTTCTATTAATGTGTAAAATTATTTGTTTGAACAATCGAGTTTGTTTACTTGAAAACCTTTTTTCTCCCTCGCTTTCTTTCCACCCCCTATTTTCTCTCCTCTGTTTCTTATCCGCCTCATGTTCTCTCCATCCCTTGTGTCTCAGCTTTACCCCTCTTTACACTAAAATCTAACAGTTTGCCTTATAAAATCGACTTTTGCAATTCCTTATTATGGTAAAGGTAAAATACGAAATTTTTTGCAATATGTGTATTACAGTCAAACCTTTTCGTTATAATATTACTCAATAGAATGATCTAAAGCTGTCCGTAGAACGAGGTATCACACTATATAGGTACTTTTTGAAAGGGTTCTGTTACAAAGGTGGTCAAAAAGCTGTGAGTATAAGGAATATTTTGAACTATAGAGGGTCATACTAAATATGTTTTACTGTATTAAACTATTTAAACATCCATTTTGACAAAACTTCTCACACTAACTCAAAAATCTTCAAAAACCATGACTATACCTTAATATCCACACGTCATTCCCGATATTAACCTATGCAAGCCGGTGAAATTCGCTTTAATAGGCCATGAAATAGACGCAGCCATATATTACGTTTTGTTTGTCCAAAAGTAATTTATATATTATAACGCGGCCCGTAAACTCATTACACATTCACGTGTTATATTTCCTCTTTTTATATCCACCATGTTATAGTAGGTATTAATGCGGAAATTGTAGTCAGTGGTTTCTGTTTTGTTTATTAACAAGGTGTTTTGGCTTTAATTGGCTTGTTGAGGTTTTATTGCTTTTAGTTTATTGGAGGAATGTAGTTTTAAATATTTTTTAATTTTGGCATTTTTGAGTTAAGTTTGGCATTCTTTTGCAAGATGACATTGCTTATGATATAAGTAACATAAAAAGCATTTTTCTAAATTTAAAATAGTGTTTTTAACTTACTAGAAACTTCGAAATGTCAATTTTAGCCAAAAAATCATGTTACAACAGAATGCCAATTTTGGCGGGAAAATGATAATTTGAAATATTTTGCCACTTTTTGTACTTTATAAGGCCTATAATCAAAAAAATAAAAGTAAGGTAGGTTAAAGTAGTATTTTTTCTAAGTCTGAAGAGATTTTAAACTAATAATGTTAAGCATCTTGATGTTTAATCTTAAAAATATTAAAAACATTTGTCTTTAATTAAGTTTTGACTAATCTCTGCGACCGGAAGTTCTCACTCCATAAGGAAGTTGGAAAGGTATTTTTAAAGAGTGGAGAACGTAGTACTAAAAAGTGTTTTTTAAAATTGTTAAAAATGGATAAATTTAAAAAAAAATTTTTTTTGGAGGGTAGAGTAGGATAAGGTAGGGTAGGATAGGGTAGGGTAGGGTATTGTAAAGTAGAGTAAAACAAGAAAAAATAACTTTTTGTGTCATTTTGAATAATAACCAAAAAAAGGATAGTCTAAAAAGCCAGAAAGTGCATTTTAAAGACAAAAACGTAAATTGGAGTATATTTTTTGTTTTTATAACAATAGGAAGTCAAAATGGCCGTTTTTAAAGTCGTTTTTGGCCGGTTGCCAAGTCAACTGACAACGTCTTCAAATTTTAATTTTTTTATTTTTTACGTCAAAGTTTAAGGGGGAGAGGGTTGAACTTTAAAAAAAATAACGTGTAGAGCTGGGTTGGAATTACTGGGAGGTTTTTGGAGATATGGAGGAGGGAGGGGGGGGGGAGGATGGAGGGGGGGGGGCAGGGCAGCGCGCTGGGGGAGGGGGTGGACAGAAAAAAGAACTCACTGCCATCTCTACTCTTATTACCACTCCACCCCCCCCTCCCATTGCCATCCCCACCCCCACTACCAAAATAACTACAACCCCGTCTACGTACATGACCTATCCCATCCCGATCTTTGGTTACTCTTCCTGGCTTCCGTTTCGCAAACTCGCCTTTTCTCGGATCTCGGTCGGATTAGTCTTGGCCAGAAGGCGCATAAATTGTGTGTCTTCCCTTCTTCGGGCCTTCCTTAATGCCGCGTTTAAACGCGTATCGGGTTTCGACCCTTTGACCGGAACTTGCGGTTCGACTCTCTCGTTAATGGCTAGCTCCGATTTCATGGCGTGTTTTACATTTGGCCGCGTGAATTCCAACGTGCCGCTTCTTGTTGTGATAGTGGGGCACGAGGGGAGGGTGGTGTTGTTTTTTTTCTTGAAAAATGTAAAAAATTCTTTGATTTTTCGAAATTTTTAAAATTTTTTATTTTTTAAAAATTTTTGAAAATTTTTTAATTAAACAAAATTTTTTGGTTAAAAAGATTTCATGGGACAATATATTCTCCTTGTTTTGACATTTCAACCTAAATTCTCAACTTTCAGCTTGCCAACACTACATTCTGATCTCCCCCCAACCGCTCAACCTCAAAATCATCAACCCATCTCAACCATCATCGCCACACTCTTTCAAAATACCATTTCAATTCACATTTCGTCGCGGTGTTGCCTGCAGATCGGGTGGGAAGAGGCTGGCCCCCACCAAAACGAGAAGAACGGCCGCGGACGGCCGTGCGCGTAACGCCGCCAAAGCCAAGCGCAACAGAATCACGGCCGCGCGCGTCCAAGGGGACCGGGCCGCGGCCCGGCCCTTTAGCACGCCAGCATGCTGCTCGACCCCAGCACACTGTCGGCCGAAACCCTGGCACGAGCCTCCGTTATCTTCAGCGTGTTCGTGCTGTTGTTGTTCTCGTCGCTGACCTCGATTCACGTTCTGCTCAGCAACCGCAACCTCAATGAAGTCACCGGGTTTTATATGGTGAGGTTTTTTGAGTTTATGGTACTTTTTATAGCTAGTATGCAGGGCCGGGCGGGGTCTTTTGGTCTGAGGGCGGGGGTCGAAAAAATCGGCACAGCGTTAAGTGTGCCGATTTTCTGCAGAAAATTTTTTTTGAAAAATCCACAGGGGGGAGGGACCACGTTTAACTTTTTTCAAAAAGTTTTTTTCATGTAAAATTTAAAAAAAAATTTATTTAGCCGTCCGTAGACGAAAATGCTCCGTAGAGACACCTTACATATCAAAATGAAAAAACATTTTTAAAAATTCTTTTTTTTAATTTAAAATTTTTTTTTAATTTTTAATTTAATTTTGAAAAAAAAATTTTTTTTGCCAAATTTTTCAAAAAATTTAAAAATGACATCACTGAGACTCTAAAACAGGAAAACCGTTTAGTTCCAGGCCGTCAATTCGTTAGGTTTTTGCTAATTTGAAAAGAAGGCCGCTTAATGAAAGCGACAACTCTTTGATGCTGCTAATTTAAAACTCAAATATGCATTTTTGAATTCATTTTTGTTGCAAATTGTTTATGAGATACTGTTAGTAAGAAGGCATAGTGCTGAATAAGAGGCAGGAAATTCAAAAAAAAAATTTTTTAAATTAACAAAGTTTCATTTTTTGAAAATTCTTTTATATACGGGGTAGAGGGGTGAGAATTTTTTTAAAACTTAAATACTTCCCCTTAGGTAATATACATAATTTTTAGATATAAAAACATTTTAATCTTCGTCATAGGTTTAAAAAACCAGGTTTTATACCTAAAAATAGCAAAAAAACTTAAAAAATAGTAAATATTAACAATGAAAGTACCCAACCTACCTCCCTCAATATCAAAACAAAATTTTTATATAAATTTTTTGTACCACTAATAGTACTTATAAAAAATTTTAGTTTGCGCTTTTGAGTTTTAAATTTTAAATGTTTGAATTTCTCGTCAATTTGTTACATTTGGCATTCCGTTTCAAACACTTTTTTCGATTTTCTAGCCAAGCTACACTTAAAAATTAAAAAATGTAGCTGCATTTAAATGTTTTTACTAGTATATTAAAGAAAAATTGTTAAAAGTCAGAAAAATAGCATAGTTATAAATTTGAAACACAATGCCAATTTGGCGGGAAATTCAAAACGTAATTTTTTGATTTTGCTTTTCTTGAGATTGACTTGAAAAAGCGGTATAGTACATTTCTTAAAGGACCAGTTCGCCCATTCAAATATCATTGGCATTCTGTCGCAAAAATTCGACGTTCATTTTTTTTTGCAAAAAACCTGAGAAGGTCGGTCTCAAATTGGAAAATTCATTTCGACACCGACCCACTCACGTTTTTTGAGAAAAATGATTTTGATTGAAATTGGTTTTCGACGCTTTTTGCGACAGAATGCCAATGATATTTGAATGGGCGAACTGGTCCTTTAAGGTCTTATATTTACATGATATTTCTATATAAAAAGTTTGAAGCCAGTCAGAGCTAGGCAGGTCGGGTACTTTCTTCGTAATTTACATGCCTGAATATAACAAAAGACGTAAAATAATTAAAAAATCAATTTTTTAAAAATTTTTTTAAATTTCAAATTATAAACCATTTAAACCTTCAGATATCCTTGGCATTTGGAGACTTTCTCTGGGCCGTCATGATTGTCCCACTGTCATTCTACAGCTCGCTGACTCCAAATTGGAGTTTTATGGGCGACGACTCGGCTCTCTGTAAGTACTCTGCCTATCTACAAATCATCATAATGACATCAACTATGTATACCTTCGGGTGGATATGTGTTGATCGGTATTCTGCCTTCATGAAGCCTTCGAAATACGAGAGTGAACAAACTATAACACGATGTAAATGTTGGATTACGTTGACCTGGGTTACGGCGATTTTGACTGCTTGCCCGGTTATTGTGGCTAAAATGGAGGTAGGGTGGATTGAAAGGGGTTTTTGGGTAGGTTGGGTAATTTTTTAGGTATAGGGGGTGTTTTATTTGAATTCAGAGATATCGTTTTATGATATAGTCAAAGGATTTGTCTTTATTTGATCAAAGACGAGAGATAACGCAAAAAGAAGAGAGACAACCTCAATAACAAAGAAAGCCTCAAAAATTTAAAAAATTAAAAAATTTTAAATTTCAAAAACTAAAAATGGATAAAAACCTTAAACATTCCATTTTCAGGCCAACTACTATCAAGAATTTGAATTTTGTGTGTTAAACTGGTCGTCAGCTGCCGCTTACAGTATAACCTTGCTCGTACTCGTGCTGGTGCCTTCGGTTGGGACCATGTTATTCACGGCCTGCTCAATCTTTTCGGCAATGAAAAAGCCGGAAGAGGTAGGGTTTTAAAAGTGCATTCGACTAGAAACGATTCTGGGTAATTTTCCCGAAAATTGTAATTGAGTGCAGCATGCGCCCGAAGGAGTGCAGGCTGCGGAGGGGAAAGGGAAAAATTAATGGTTTTATCGTAAAATACGGAGTCTTGGACGTTGTTACATAATAAAAATTCTGGGTGAAAATAACAATTTTTATTAAAATCTTTTTTCTTTACAATGTAATTAAAAAAAAAATTTTTTTTAAGTTTTAAAAATTATTTTAGCTCGAAGACATTCAACGAACAGCCCTAGAGACCGACCAGAACTTTGTAGTGACATTATTTGTTGTAATATCATTCATCCTTGCATGGTGCCCAATTGTTGCCGTTCATTTCGTACCAGAAAGCCTATTACATCCAGCAGACACAGCTACAATCAAGTTCGCCCTAATCTGGCTAGCCATCGGAGGTCAAAGTTCGAAATGGCTGATCTACATGTTCACAAATCGAGAATTCCGTCGCCACTTCTGTATCCCATGCCTCGGCAAAGACATTGACGACCCGATGGATTCGGAAGCCGAGATCCACAGTCCAGGCTGTCTGAAAAAGCTGTTCTGTCTACCGTGCTACTTGATGAGTAAGCGAGAGCCGGTTCGAGTGGTTCACCATCGCTCATCGATGATTCCACAGCCAGTTCAGCGGGTCTCGGCCGCTCAAATGGCTAGGACGGCGTCGTTGACACCACATATGCATCAGAGTTATAGCTATTACAATGGCAGTAATGGGGCTAGTCCATCGATGGTTATAGCGCCGAAGAGGCAGTTAGAATATGGCAGTTTTGCTCAAATTCCAGCTGGATTTTAGGTGATTTTTGATGGTTGAGGTTACGTTTTTGGTTGTAACATTTGAAATTTTTGAGGTAAAATGTTGATATTCACAGTATAGTAAGGTAAATATCTCTAATTTAAAAAAGTTTTAAAACTTTAAAGTTTTGAATTTCGAATCAAGCATTGTACTTGATTTTCTTTCAGAAATCACTAGTACAATATGTTTATCTTACTTTTAATCTCTATAACACCTTTATTGTTTTCAACTTTATGTTTTAATTTGAATGTCTAAAACACTATGATCTCAAGTTCTTTTTAACATATAAACAAAGCAGTGACTCTTCAAGACACCATCTTATGTACAAAGTTATATATTATCCATGACCTTTATCTATTAAGTTGTTCAAATAATTCTGGGTTTCTTTCAAAGCAAATTTTTGGAGTTAGAGCTCCTAACTTCAAAAGTTTTCTTTGATCTTCACGTAGGGGGCGCAGAATTATTTGAACAACTTAATAACTTTAATGCTCATCTTTTTTTCGTTTTAATGTAAATTCAATGTTCATCTTTTCATTTTAATGTAAAATACGTTGCCGCGAGCATGTGCATCCTTAAAATTTTTCAGAAAATTAGCATAGTTTTTTAAAGTTTTCACTTAGTTTTTAAAAAATTGACTTATTTGTGTTATAACGTGTTATAGCATCAAAAATGTCTTTTTATTTTTAAAATTTTAAAAGTTTGGAAACGTCAATTCCCACATCGTATTTTACATTAAACTATCATTTTCTGGACTTTTTTTGTAAAAATTTTAATTTTTTAAACTTTTATTTTTAAAATCTTGCTTTTCGGGTAATTTGGTCTTTTTAAATATGATTATTGATCTCCGCTTACCTGGTTACAACTACTCATTTTGGACTTACTGACAAAAGTTAAAAACATCATTTTAATTTTTTTAACTTTTTAAATTTTTAAATCGTGAAAAATTTAAAATCGAGCATTGGTTGAACTGACCGTATTTTACAAAAAAAAAAACTTTCGAAATCCATTTAAAAACGTTTATAAGTCAACATACAGTACAGTATATCAGTCAACATACAGTACTGTATAGCAAAATGGTAGTTATAACCAAAATGAACTCAGTTGGTCGGTGCATTCATCAGCTTTTGTTTGCTTTCAAGCTTTTCAAACATTTTGAATCTATGGTAAAAACAAAATTTGTATATGAAAGTGTAGTAAGTTATTCTATTCTATGGTTTTGATAAATAAACTTATATGGCTATTTTGTAATTGCTTTGACTTATAAAATAAAAAAAAATTCCAAAAATTTTTTGAAAATTTTAAAAAAACGGCAAGCTTTATTAACAAAAAAAGTGCCCAACCTGCCTCGCTCAAAACTTTACTTTTCATGTAAAATATCTTTTCACAACTTTAAATTTCACAAAAACCGTCACAAGTCCGCTTTTTAATTGTTCGAAAGCGGTCGTTCCGAAGACGGTCGGTGATCCGAAATGAGTCAAACCGGGAACGGTCGAATCAGTAGTAGTTCGGGAACGCCGGATACCATTTCATTTGTCAAGAGTAAATCACAAGTCCCCAAGGGCGGCCATTTCAGAGTCCGTTACCATGTAACAATACTAGTGCTGATAACGATGGGTGTGGTGGAGATGTTGGCCCATTACCTCTTCAACTGCAATGACAGTTTTACTCACATGGTCGGAGCGATCGTGGCTTTGTTTATGGGTTTCTTCGCTTATGAATGGGTTTGGATTCATTCGCCAGCACTGACTCGAAACCGCAAAGCTCACTTCGACGAAGCCAACATCTTGGAGACGTATCAGCCGAGGGCTCGGACTATGGGACACATGTTTACGGTGGGTTTAGGTTTTGTTTTACATTCTATTTTGTTTTTCTTGGTGCCGTATTTCAAAGTTTGTATATAGTAAAGAGTTAACCATAGTTTTCAAAGGCTTTAGAGTTGGCTCCGGTATCGGCTTTTGAGCCAACTCTGGCTCTGGCGCTGAAGCAAGAGTTGACAAAAAAGAAAAGCTGAAGCCGGAGCCAAAACTTTTAAATTTAAAAAATCTGGTCATCTTTAAATTATTTTAAAAATAATGGTTTTCTTTACAAAAACGTTAAATTTTATGCATTTTTCACATTTCGCTACATAAAAACGTAAAGAAGGGCCAGGCTTATGCTTTTTGTTATTCTTAAAGCCAGGCCCAAGTGGAATGTAGCTTGTTGGCTGAGCCTGGATTGGAAATTTTAAAAATTATTTTCAAAAAAACTTTTAAAAAAAATAATTAAAAAACGAAAAAATTTAAAATTTTTTTATTTTCGTAAAAATTTTATTTTTTTTTCTATTTTAGCCCGATCCACCTACGCCAGGCCCGACTTTCAGCGTCACTGGTGATGAACTTCCAGAACGATCGGAATCAGAAAAAGCAAAGTTCAATGCTGTTAGAAATAATGTGAGTTACTCTGAAAATTTTTTTTTAAATTTAAAAGTTCAAAAAAATTTTTCAAGGTCATTGTCTAATCCAACTTTTAGCCCAGAAAATCAAAAATTAAAAAAAAATTTTTTAAGCTCAAGAACCTAAAGTAACACTCTAATACTCTAATTTTTCAGCACTACGAAAACATGTATCAGCACGCGATTCAAGTGGCCAAGGAACAAGAAGAAATGGAAAAGAAAGCAAAGGAAGGAAGCAAGAAGAGTGAGAACGAAAAGGTGGAGAAGAAGGAGGAAGATCAGCCGGCTTACGAGAATCTCGAGGAAATCATCAAAACCACCCCCAAATCAAGCTCGGAAAAGAAAACCGACAAAGATTCTTAATTTTGCCAATAAAGTTGATCATTCATATTGTGTTTTGCGGTAGGTAGGAGCATAGCAGCAGTACAAGACCGTTTCACTAAGGTAGACTAAGTTAAAGTAAAGCAGGGTAAGATAAGGCTAACCTGAGTTTTAAAGGTAAGTAGCAGAGTAAAATAAAGTAGATGGAGTGTGAGATAAGGTAGAGCAAAGGCAAGTTAGAGTAAAGTAAGGGAGGGTAAAAACAAAATAAAGGTAAAGCAGGGTAAAGATAGAGAAAAAGCAGGTAAAGTATGACAAAAGTAGGGTAGAGTAAAGGCAAGGATAAAGTGCTGGGTAGGGTTAAAAAAAATATAAGTTAAGGTAAGATAAAATAAGGTAGGACAGAGTAGGGAAGAGCTTGAGTTGAGCACTACTAATGTAAGATAGGATAGGGTAGGGTAGGGTAGGGTAGGGTAGGGTAGGGTAGGGTAGGGTAGGGTAGGGTAGGGTAGGGTAGGGTAGGGTAGGGTAGGGTAGGGTAGGGTAGGGTAGGGTAGGGTAGGCTAAGGCAGAGAAGGGTAGTATGAAATACGTATTGAGCTTTTGTAGCTTTATTTACCAATTTTGTTAACAAAACTCATGGTTACATTTAGCTAAAGCCAGCTTTGATTTCTGATAATCAAATACCACACAATAATTTTTAAAAACGTCATGACTTAAAATAAATTCTATATTGTCAGGATTGGGTTGGATTGCCATAACTAACATAAAAGACAAGTCAAGTCGTGTGGAATTATAGGATACGACAACGTTGTCTAAGGACCATTCGTATTCGTTATACGTTGCGTTGAGTAAAGAATAATAGCGAATGTCTGACAGTATGACATTAATGTTTATACTGGCTTTTAATCCAATTTGAACCAAAACGCTTCGAGAAATGAGTAGTGCAAAGTGAAAGATGGATCTATGCAAATCGATAATTGGCTTGCACGGATATCTGCTTGAACCCCAGAACTCTTATGGAGCGCCTCACGTACGACTCCGTGCCGCAAGCAACACTTGAATACATGTGGAAAGGTCCAATTATAGAAACGTCTAATACTTATATGAGGATAGCTGTGTTGGCCTTCATAGGCATCTAGTTGAACCGTAATCGAGAAACGTGACATTTGGAACATTTATGCAAATTACCGCTCTCTCCCTTCCTCAAACCGAACGCACGCGTGGCAGTCAGTCAATTAGAAAGCATGTCTCCGGACCAGTTGGTCATTCCTTCCTCGCTTTGATTGACATTTAGCATAATATCTTTGGTTAATAATAAATATGTATATATAATATATTGTTGACTCGGATATTATTTCCTTAACTATTTTCGAACATCAACACAGTACGTTACACTCTACGACATCATAATCTAAACTTTATCTTTCGAATTTGTAATTTTTACCGTTTGAAGAATGGTTAATACATCCTGCAAGTCGTTGGAAAATTCGTATAATAAAAAACAAATTATTGCAAAATATTTTAATGCTCTATTGATTGTTTATCTTCTAATTATAATACAAATACCAATATTACCATTTATCCAAACAAAATTTATGGTTACACTTTGCTAGAGACATTTGCTGCGTTTCATAATCGAAGGCTACACAATAACTCTTAAAGATGTCGTAACTTAAAATAAATTCTAAATCATCGGGATTTGGTTCTATTGCTGAGATGTGTAGGAAAGAAGAACCAAATCTCGTCGCATTGTAAGAAACAACAATATCTTCTAAAGCCCACTTGTACTCACTGTCAGTTGCGTTCGGTAAGTAGTAGAACATTTTATTTCTTGGGTTAGATATTATGACATTGTCGTGCACAAGTTGACTAATGTGTTGAGTCGATACGCCTGTATACGTCTTTTCGGAAAACATCAACTGAAAATTATTTGAATTAAAGTAAAATATGATTATGTTTATAATTAAACGTAAAAATGAGGCTATGGCAACTCGCCTTTTACAATTTTGCTTACTCGATACTTTTTTGCTTTCCGAAGACTGTAGAAATAGAACTCGTAGCCATCAAACATCCAAAACGCGCCGCTTACCGGTGTCAGATAACTCCAGCCTCCACTACAGTATTCTGTGTCGAGTTTTCCAAACACAAGCTTATGTAGTTTTATGTATTCATCTTGAACCGGTGTGTCTACAAACCAGGTTTTTGTAACAACCGGCCTTGAGATTACATTACTTTGGTACAACTGCTGTACTATGTTCTGCCTTCTTCGACTTCTGCCCAATCCAATCGTATTCAAATTGCTACCAAAGTGACTCATGTAGTCTAAAGACGATAGCAACTGCAATAAAAACCGTTGTTGAGGCATATGAATATATTTATTGTCTGCTGTTAAAAAACTAAAATCTTCGTTTGCGTAAACATGCGATGCCCATTGGTTGTGGTAATATTGTGTTGTAGCATGAAATGTGGTTGAGTTGTGCATGTATGGAGAAAATGCATGTACGCCACATTGACGACCTATTGTCGCGGAAGAAGCGCAACAAAGTGGGTTACAGAACAGGTGGCAGTAGTTTACTTGAAAGGTGATTTATATGAAATATAAAGTAAAAGTAGTAGTGATAGCACATATTGCATACTTTTTTTTAAAATTGGACGTAAAAATTAAATTTCCAAAAGAAAGTTACTTGTTTGACAAAACTTCTGACAGTCTGTGTAGTAACAAACACCATCAATTAAAGTGATATCGGCAACGTTCAAGTCAACGCTTATACTGAGTTGGTTATAGTTTGTTCCAGTATAAAAACTCCTAGCTGAAAGTGATAAAGCCAATGTTTACAAAGACATATCCAAAAACAAGGTTAAACCGTGTTGACAGATTGTATTAGAACAGTTTAAGAATGTTTATAACAACTTACTAATTAATAGACCAATGTCCACTTTTACTTCAAACGATTTTTCATTACCGTTTAGCGTTTTATATATTAACCAGAATAAATAAAAGGCAATACGCATTACAACAACTTACATAGAATCAGTTTTTATAAATTCAACTTGTTAAAGCCGATTAAAAGACAGTGGTGTTTGCGTTATCAGTCGATATTTCTAATGTATTATAATATGCTTTCACTGAGTTTATTACTTGATGCACGCGGAGATAAAAAGATCTGACAAATGTATACCTCCTTCCATGAGCAAGCAAATTTGGAAGGGGTGTAGCATTCTGGCTGGCTACACTCCTTCCAAACTTCCCCTTTCTTTCCGTTGTCTTCACCACAATTCCATCTAGACCCGTCCATCTTCTTATTCTTTTGCTTCTTATTCCCCATCTTAACTTTACATTACGCATCATTCTCTCAATCTTCGTTAGACTTCTGCTAAGCATGATGCGGTCCGCTTTTGTCTATTCCCAAGTTTCTGCCCCGTACAGCAATGCGGTTTCAATACACATCTTGTAGTATTTCGCCTTCAGTGATGTTGGAGTCTTCATGTTTATCAGCAGCCATCTAACTTCCTGGAACTTGCACCATCCACTTCTGATTTTGTCTTTTATCTCTTCGCCATGCTCATTAGGAAACTCCAACGTCTGACCCAAGTGGTTGTATAAAAACTATGATATGGGGTGTACCAAAACTTTTGCGTAACGGTATAACACATTATTTTTGTAACTATGCAATATAATTTATTTTTTATCTCTTGTTTTTTGTAATAAAATAAAAAAACTCTGTAGAAAGAGTAGCTCGGAAATTTAGAATGGGTTTGTTATGAAGAAGTTTTGACACAAAAGAGTTCTTTATACAGGGTTCTACTGTATACGATATGCATGAATAGTCACTTGGACTTATACAAGAAGGATTAAAAGTAATAGGTATCTAAAATATATAATATTTACGAGTTATTCATACAAAACTTATGATTACATTTGGCCAAAGCAATTCGTTGTTTTTCATAGTCAAAAGCTACACAGTAACTTTTAAAAATGTCACTACCCAAGACAAATTCTAGATTATCTGGATTGGGTTGTATTGCAGAAACTTGCATATATTCTAGTCCAATCCTTGATGAGTTATAGGAAACACGACTGTTATCAATGGTCCATTCGTACACTTTGTTTGTCGCGATATGCAGATAATAAAAACTTTTTTCTTTTTCTTCTCTGTATTGTTCTAAATTGCCGGTTTCGTTAAGTTTTTGGATATACTTTGCAGATATGGCTGTACCGGAGGCTTCGGAAAACATTACCTGAAACGTACCATGAGTTAGTCTTTGTATAGGTGCTACTTTTTAGTTACCAACCCTAACTGTTAAACACTCCCAAATTTTGACTGATTAGACAAATTTTCAAGAACTAATCTGGTTTTCCATTTTAAATTTTTTTCGCGCTGCCGAGTCGTGAAGGAAAAAGATTCCTGACACTAGAGAATATTGCTGTACAGATCAGTAACAAGCTCAAGTGTTATGTGTTACCTTCAAAACAGCTATTGGCAAAATCAATTTTTTTGTATTTTTGAGTAGTTTACAATAGTACACTTACTCTATAATTTATTGTCCTTCCAAAGTTGTAAAAGTAAAACTCTTGCCCACCAAACATCCAAAACTCATCACTAACTGGTGTCAAGTAAGTCCAACCGTCGCTACAGTATACTGCATCGTACTTTCCAAAAACCATTTTATGTGAAGGAAGATATGAGTCTTGAAACCACGTTAAAGTAACCACAGGCTTTAAAATAACGTTACTTTGATGCAATTGTTGTACAATGTTTCGTTTTGTGCTACTTCTCCCTAACCCAATGTAATTGTAGTCCCTAGTGTCTATGCCTCTCCTGTCCAGTGTCCAAAGTAGTGTCATTAAAATTTCTTTCTGGGGTAGTTCGATGAAACTGTCACTAGTTGTCTGTAATCTTGAACTTTCTTTCACTAAAACACCTGAAGAAAACGGCCATTGATAATAGTGAGAAGTAGCTTTGAATGTTGTGGAGTTGTGTTTATAATACCAATCATAATTAGTTTTTTTACATGTTGATCGAATTTCAGCTGTCGAAGCGCAACATAAAGGGTGACAATAAAGGTGACAATATGTGACTATAATATTTGAAATGATATGTTTTATTAACTTTAGTTTTATGTTAGCCCAAAGCTATTTTAGTTGTGGATTCATACACTTACTTACTAGTTAGGCTTAATAATAAAAATTATACATTATAACTTACTTCTACCACAAAATTTGCTACAATTATTGTAATTATCGTAGCATATGCCATTAATCAATACAGTATCGGCTGTATTTAGACTAAAAGTAATTTGTAGATTTTCATTGTTAGAGCCAATGTAAAATTTTTCACCTAAATTAAAATTAGCTTTTAAATTCTTACAAAAAAAGAGTAAAGAATTTAAAAAGTCATATTGTTAAAGAAATAAAAAAGCACTTACATGTCATCAAATCAGCAAGTACATTAATTTGAAATATTTTTTCATCAGCTGCTGCACCAAGTATAAACAATATACAGGCATAAAGGTGCATTTAGATGAATAAAATAGTATTTGTTTTAACACTCTTTGATCAAAGCGTAGACACATTAATCTTTTTTATCAGTTTGTTCTTTTTATTTGTTTTACATAGTTAAAACTTTTACGCCTAAAGCAGGGTAATTTTTTAGAGAAATTTATTTTTGTCACAAAAAGATTTGGCACAGGCAAAGTCTTTCCCATAAAGCCAAAAATCATTAGATTTTTTTCATTTTCATGATGCTTTTTCATTCTTTCTTTCAATTTGTCTTGAATAGTCGAAGATGGACCTAAAGTTGGTTGTATAAAAACTATGATATGCGATGTCCCAAAACTTTTGCGTAATAGTATACCAAGCTAATTTTGTATCTATTATAATAATTTATTTGTATATTATCTCTTGTTTTTTTGGTAAAATCTTGTAGAAAGTATAGTCCTGAAATTTAAAATTGGTTTGTTGTGAAGGAATTTTTGTACAGAAGATTTCTTTAGACAAAGTTCTAATGATAATTTAGGCCAATGTATATGGTATGCATGAACAATAACTTGTACTTATACAAGAAGGATTACAAGTAATATGTATCAAAACTATATAATATTTACGAGTTATTCTGACAAAACTTATGATTACATTCAGCAATTCGTTGTTTTTCATAGTCAAAAGCTACACAGTAACTTTTAAACAGGACATCACCCAAAACAAATTCTACATTATCTGGATTTGGTTGTATCTCTGAAATTTGCATAACTCCTAGTGCAAACCTTGATGAGTTATAGGAAACAACATTGTTATTTATTGTCCATTCGTACACTTTGTTTGTCGCGTTGTGGAGATAATAAAAATCTTTTTTTGATATGTATCGTTCTAAACTGCCGGTTTCGTTAAGTTTTTCGATATACTTAGCAGAGAGCGCTGTTCCTGGGACTTCGGAAAACATTACCTGAAAATTACGATAGGTTAGTTTGTGTGAAGGAGCTATTCCACCTATATTTATTTAAGCCAACTACCCCATTCTACCTACAAAACACACCCAAACGTTGACCCGATTAGGCACACTCAATATTTAATATTTTTGAATTTGGTTTGGTTTGACAATACAAGTGATATTTTCATTTTGACAATTTTTTGGAGGAGGTGGCCTGAGATGTGACACTTGAGAATATGAACGAATTACAGAGCATTAATTAGCTCATATGTTACTTTCGATAGAGTGGTCTGCCATTAATATTCAAAACTGTGGTCTAACGGCAAAGACAATATTTTTTTTGCATTTTTGGGTAGTTTACAATAGTACACTTACTCTATAGTGTTTATTTGTTAAGTTTTACAATACTGCAAAGTTTGAAGTAATTTGGATAAGTAGTTTTAAAGTTACAAGTTTTAGGTTCAAAAAATGAGGTAAAATTCTATAGGAAAGTGATTTGGGCTCGTAAAAAATAGTAATTTTGGTAAAAATTGACCAATTTAAAAATTTTAAAATGCTATCAAATGCATTTTGACCTGAAAACGTCGAATTTGAAATCAGTTTTGTTCTAACGTTTCTTTAATTGACAGAAAAATACAATGCCAAAGTATGCCAATTTGGCGGGAATTCAAATTTTTGACAAAATTTTGGTTAACTATTAATGGCATTGCTTTTTGCATAGTACAAGCACCTCACCTTCAAATTTTGATAAAATTCAATTAACTTATAACACAGTTACTGCATTTAAAGCGAAATGATAACAACGCTCTAACACACCTGGTCTAAACTGAAACCTCTAACTTCTGCTTCTACTAGTACGTTGTTCACACATGTATCTAGCCTATTGTTAACCTACAATGACGTTTACCTTACGTTTTATGGTGAAAAAAATCTAAATTATTAGAGTTACTCTGGTACCTTTCGACTTTACATGTAGTAACATTGTTTTCAGTTGGTAAAATTGTATTAAAATTTGAAATCAAAGTACTTATACAACACAAAAAACAATACCATCAACATTCAAACAAAATTTTGTCAAAAAATTAAATTCCCGCCAAATTGGCAAATCTTGGCATTGCGTTTTTCTATCATTTAGAGTTAAGATCGAGAAAAAGTAATTTTAGATTCGGCGTTTTCAAGTCAAAGTGCATATGATAGCTATTTAAAATTTTCAAATTGGTCAATTTTTGCCAAAATTACTATTTTTTACGAGCCCAAACCACTTTCCTATAGAATTTTACTTCATTTTTTGAACCTAAAACTTGTAACTTTAAAACTACTTATCCAAATTACTTCAAACTTTGCAGTATTGTAAAACTTAACAAATAAACACTAACAAAAATCGTATTTCTGATTTTTACTTTATTTATCATCCGTATATACTCAGTTACTGTGGTATCTTTCGACTTTACATACAGTAACCTTGTTATCAGGTGATAAAAATTCACCAAAGTTTGTATGTATACTACTGATACACTGTAAAAAACAGTAGTGACAATATTTTGATTTAACTTTAACAAAAATTTGAATTCCCGCCAAATTGGCAAACCTTGGCATTGTGTTTTTCGGCCATTTACAATGAAGCTAAAACAAAATCAAGTATAAATTTAGCTTTTTTAGATCAAACTGCATATTATAGCATTTTAAAATTTTTAAATTGGTCAACTTTTACCAAAATTACTATTTTTTACGAGCCCAAACCACTTTCCTATAGAATTTTACTTCATTTTTTGAACCTAAAACTTGTACCTTTTAAACTACTTATCCAAATTACTTCAAACTTTGCAGTATTGTAAAAATTAACAAATAAACACTAACAAAAATCGTATTTCTGATTTTAACTTTTTTATCGTGTGTATTTACTGGGTTACTGTGGTATCTTTCGACTTGACATCCAGTAATTTTGTTATCGGTTGGTAAAAGTTTACTAAAATTTGAAGTGAAAGTATAGTGTAGCTTATACAACACAAAAACCAACACAATTAACATTTAAACAAAATTTTGTCAAAAATTTAAATTCCCGCCAAATTGGCGAATCTTGGCATTGCGTTTTTCTACCAATTAAGGTGATGATAGAACAAAACGGTTTTCAGATTTGGAGTTTTCAGGTTGAAATGCATATAAAATCATTTTAAAATTTTAAAATTAGTTAATTTTTGTCAAAATTATAATTTTTATAAGTCCACGTCAGTTTCCTATAGTAGTTGACACGGTTTTCGAAAAATACACTCTTTTTTTAACCATAAAAATGTAAAAGTTAAAAAAAAACCAAATTTAACAAAAACAAAATTTTTCTATTACTTTGATGTTACTTTAGGCTTAAATAGACCCTAGTAATATTGACAGTTTACATAAATATTGCCAAATCCATAGTAGTTACTATATATCTCCACCCGCGAAGTGTCCATACTTTATGGACACTTCGTTGGTCCCCGCGAAGTGGGACATCCCAACTCGCGGGTGCCCCCGCGAAGTGTCCACCCGCGACCGTCGAAGCGCAACATAAAGGGTGACAATAAAGGTGACAATATAAGGCTGTAATATTTAAAAGGGTATGCTTTGTTAGCCTTAGCTTTATGTTAGCCCACAGCTACTTTTAGTCGTGGCTTCATACGCTTATGCTTAACAATGAAAGGTATACAACTTACTTCTACCACAAAACGTTCTACAATTATTGTAATTATTGTAGCACACACTATTAATAAATACAGTATCGACTGTATTTAGACTAAAAGTAATGCGTAGATTTTCATTGTTAGAGCCAATGTAAAATTTGTCACCTAAATAGTCTATGGTGTTTGAAAAATAAAGGACACTTACATACATGTCTTGTTCTAGTGGCGTCAACTCAACTTTTTTTACTTCTTGTTTTAACTCATCTTCTGGTTCTTCTAAAATATATTCTTTTAAAAGCTTGATATTGTAGTTGGGTAAAGTCCATTCGAATTCAAGGTCTAGTGTATTGTTTTGTAAAGTATACTTGTTGTGTTCCAGAAAACTTAATACTTTTTTATTAATCAGTTTTTGCAACTTTGTTTTAGGCATAGCAATTGACAATAGTTCGGAAAACATTATCTGTAATCAAAACAGTTAAAGGCGGGGCAAAAGCAAGGCAAAGACAAGACAAGGCAGGGCAAAGGCATGGCAGTATGTGACTTACCCTATAATGTTTTTCTTCCTTCAAAGTTAAAAATTGGAC